GAAATATTGTGTAAGGCATCCATTAAACTTAATTCAAAAGTCTCAGGAGTGGTTGAACAACTATCCAAAATTGTGAGAGGCCAAAGAGTTATTTATGCAAGTGTCGGTCGAGTTTAGTAAAGATCTATCTGTAAAAAAGAAGAAAAAACATCCATTCTGGTCCTCTGTCTTTTTAAAGACCTTTCTAAATTAAGGTTTCCAACATTAGGTGTAGAAAATCCAGACGCAATTAACTGCTTGCGGCAAATATTTTCAAAGATTCTTAGTCTAATAAAAAAGATTAAGGTAGACGACATACTGAAAATAAAGGAGTCTCAAAAAAGTCGCGTCGGAAAAGGACAAATAATGTCCAACTCCTTTTAGATCTAATCTAATCAATCTGCTCTTATGTTTAAACTGATTAGAAAACGTTTATGAAATTCTAAACGTTTGCCAGAATTATTTAAACTAACTTTAGTTTGTTTTTGTTTTATAAAGAGTTAGTGATGGCAGAAGATTTTTTTAATTTGGTAGAGAAATTGAACATTAAAGAGATTTCTTAAACTATGTTTTTGAAACAAGAATAACACTAAAAATTACCTAGGGATGGCCTAACTAACAATTATGCTCTATAAACTGAACGTTATTGAGTAAATGTATTCTATGTGTTCTCTTGTAGGTATTATTTAGCTCTCCATAGCAAAAATATTCTTTAAATTATTTTTAAAAACGTTCTTAGAGCAACTTTACAGAGCAGCTTATAGAGCAACTATATAATTGTAGCCAAATGTAGCCAACTAAAAAAAAAAAAAGGAATTCGATAAAACTCAAAGTCCAAAGTCAGAACTGCTGAGCGATCATTTGCCTTTTGAAAAATCTTTATCTAATACCGCAACAGGCATGACATTGTAAATGAAAATAGGAGAAATAGAAAAAAACTGAACACTTCACCTTGATTGTGACTTTTAAGAGGAACGTCATTCTTGGTCTCATCTACAAGAAATAGACAATATTAACTCCAATCTCTAATGGAGTCTGTCAGATGTGTTAAATTAAATCACCTTTAATAATGGAAACCACCTACACTCTTTCAATCTAGATCAACAGGCGAGTGAAATTAACACATCTGGTAGACGCCATTAGAGCTTTTCTATGGTATTTGATGAGCTCTAATAAGGACAAAACAGATCCTTAAGAAGCAAAATCAAAGTTTAACATGGCTTTAAGAGGAAAAGAATCACTGAAACGGATGAATAGATTAAATAAATTAATAAAATAGGAATAAGTGAAAATACAGAATCTAAAAGAAAGTTATTAAGGGAAAGGATAGTGAAGAGTCAGTAAATAAGGATGATTAAGAAAATATAAGGGGCATGTTTGCCTTAATGATAAGAACATAGTTGGAATGGAGAAAAAATAAATAAAAATAATAAAATGGTGTAAAAGAAATGGACAAAATGAATAAAAATATTTATGAAAATAGGAGAAGTGATAAATGAGCAAGGAAACAAGAAAGGTTAAAAGATAGAGAAGCAATTATTGGGAAAATGGAGCAAATGAAGAAAAACAGAAAAGATATAAGAAAAGAAACAAAAAAGCTTACATAAAATGGAAGTAGCAGTGAAAGAAATAAAACAAACCAAAAATAGAATAGAAGACCTTAAGAAGAAATGAGAATAGAAATGACTGGCAGAGGTATAGAAGTTAAAAATTTACAAGTTAATACATTTTAATTTTTTTTTAATGGCCTTCGAGTATGTACTTATATAGCCATTTGAAATATTAGAAAAAAAAAGAAGAAATATTGAGAGATGAAATTAAGAATATTTGAACAAAAAATTGAAGATAAAGATTTGAGCAAAAAAATAGAAAACTGAAGAACTAAAGAATATAGAAATAAGAAAACAAATAAAATAGGACAACATAAGACACAAGGGCGCTAAAAGAGAAATAAATAAAAATTATTTAAAACAAAAGTAATTAAAAAAAAAAATGAGTTAAAATATATGGCAAACGAAAACAAAAACAAAACATAGGCAGGAATTGGGAAAGATAATGAAAAATAGGATATTGTCGGAGAAAGTCAAAGAGAAGTAATAAATTTAAATAGGAGGACGGACAAACTTAAAAATTAAAATAAGGACAGAATATGGAAAATGAACTGGAAATATTATACGTATATACGAAACTTTAATAGCTTAATAGTTAAGTAAATATTGAAGAAATATTAAAGAAAAAGGAGACACCGATTAGATATTTAAAAAAAGAAAGACTTAAGTACTCAAATGAAGAAAAAATGTAATATTAAAGAAGAAAAAAATGTATGTTATGTTATTTGAAGAAAGAAAGTAAAAAGATTTATGAAACAAAATGATTTAAGTAGAAGGATGATAAATGAAATAGGTGTACTATAAAGTATTTTTATGTATAAAGATATGATGATAATGATTAATAATAAATAAGATTATAAAGGATGGGTGAAAATAGAATAAAAGCAATTACCTATAAATGAAGTAAATTATGAATATAAAGAAAAGGGCAGAAACAAGAACTTTTAAATCAACTACAAGAAAATACAATTTAAATACAAATTTTTCTTTCTTCTTTCATCGAAATTGTTGAAAGTAAACATGTAATTTCATATCAGTACAAACTTTAAAAGTAATGTTATCTTAGGAAACTCTGTTAAATTAAAATTTGTTTCTATTTTTATCTAAAACCTTATCTGATTCTTTAATATCTTATAATATAACAATATATTTTTCATATTTAGTTATTTTTAGTTATAGTTTAAAGAGTGCTTTAAATATAGTGGGAGCCAATATCTTATTTCCGAGTACTTCTGTTTCTTTAATGCTAATTCAAAATCTACAACCCGTATAAAAGAGTTTTAAATACTTTAATGTAAAAAAACATTTATCACTACAAATTTGATACCTAAGGTGTTATTATACGTTTTTAACTACAAATTAACAGTTGATATCCCGCTACATCATTTTAAAAACCAGGATCACCAACGTGACGTAAAACCATGCCCATTTTCGTTAATTTGTTAACGCACTTCCCCTGTATTCTTTATTCTCTCCAAGGAAATCGTTACTTATCCATGCAGGAAAATATTTTTCTCTAGTCTTTAGCAATATTATACTTTTAAGCACTTTGGTGAGTCTAATAATGAACAAACAATTTTCGTAGTGGATACTTGATCATCCGAGTAGCGGCTCCGTTCAATGAATATCAAACTCCGAGTGGGTGCTTAATTAGCGAGTGGATCCTCATAGAATGAGTACGCAATAATAAGTTTGAATCCTTCTTATATTTTTATGAATATCATATGTAGTGTCCACTTTAGATGTTTCAGAATTGAACTGGCATTTTATGAATATATCCCTTTATCAGTGTCAACAACTGAAATCTACTTGACTAATCGATTCAATCATGATTAAAAACCTATTTAATTTCAAGTATTCAGCTTTTATTTTATGTTAAGCCGATAGAGATATCTTATTGCTTGCTGTATTAAAAAGGGCGTGAGATATATTAAGTTGAGTGGGGATTGTTTGTGCGAGCACACTTTTTATGAACACGCTAGCTCGTACAACTACGATTCCTACTTTATACTGTTGCCATACTAAAAAATAAATTATGTAATTTGCTGCAAATCACCCTTAGCTAAAGTAATAGTTGTAATCAGAAAAATACATTAAACAGTACTCAGAATGCAAATATACTTTTTTAATATAATTTTGAAAGCATTTTGTGAGTTTTAGAGCCTTATGTTATTTCGAAATGAAAAGCACAAAACAACCTTTGCAACAAGACTCTCCCATAAAACTTTAGCAACTACGTGGATAACAATTTGAATGCTTGAAATATGTTTTTTTTTTAAATTGGTCAAGTAGTTGTTCGTCATTGGTAATTACAACCCGATTGATTTGGTCTGTAAAATCTATGAACAATACTAATAAAATCATCACATTCGTAGAAATAATTCGAAATTAAAAAATTTACAAAATTTTGGACCAATGCCCAGTGGATTTCCTTAAAAAAAAAAACGGAAAAAATCAATAATGCAACTTCACCAATTTGCATAAAAACATGGATTATTTCAAAGTAAACACAATAGTCGATGAGCTGGTCATGAAAACAGAAAATTGGTGCTTGTTGTTTTGACACAGTGAAACGTTTTTTGGTTGTATTTACCTGGACATGTTAATTCAGTTAAAATTCTGAAAATTGGTTAATTGTTTTTTTGAGAAGGTGTGCAAGAACTAACAGTTTTTGATTATGGATATTGTTAATGAAGGTATGCATTTTTAATTAACATAATAAGAATGTACCGTGGTGTTTGCTTCTTATTTTTTTTACGTTTTGAAATACAGTGAATTTCTTTTTACCATGATTTAAAATTGTTTTTGTTTATGTTCCATTCGTTTCCCAACTGTTTTGTTTGACAGATATCAGCCTGCCATGAATTTTCATATTTATTCACTTCTTATTGCTTTCTACAGTATTGGCCAAAAGTATGGAAACCTCCTAAAATAATATAACAATTATTAGAGATCTAATGGTGCCATTAAAAACTTTAGTTCTTTTCTCAGTTGACGTGTTTTGACGATTTTTTAAAATTTTATAGTGCACAATTTCTGTAGAAATGGTCATTTTTGCCATATTCAAAATTTCATATCTGGAATATTGTGTAATTTTCAGGAGATATATAATGTTTACGGCTCGTTCGAATGGTACCAGTCATTTATACCTAAAACCATACGGAAAAAAATGTTTTCCCTAGTTTTTCTCAAACGTGACAAAAAGGCACTTATTTATGAAAAAAAAAAAAAAAAAAAAACCGAAACACGTCGACTGAGAAAAGGCTTAAGATTTTTGAATGCACCATTAGATATTTATTAATTGGTGCAGGATCAAATTTTTATGAAATTTTAGGTATTTTCTGTACTTTTGGCCCACCAGTGTAGTTCAGTTTAAAAGAGGGTGAAATTTGGAAATCAGTAAATTTAGAAATGTGTTTGTTTTTAGATTTGGAAGATAACTGTATTCGTTTGACCTACGGCGAATTGTTTCAAATATTTCAAAGCTTCCCCGAAAACAATTTGAACACAAAACTGAAAAGGCTCCAGTTAAGCATCTTAGAGCAAACAGGTCGTGATATCTTTCCTGATGATGAAAAGAAAAACTCGTCTCGGTATGTTTCTCGTCTAAAATCTAGATGGCTTGAAGTTAGTCAAAACAAAGTGTTATTTCTTAAAATATATTCAAATTGGCTCAACCAAAGCATAACATTTAAAGAAAACCGGACATTAATACGTTCTACTCGGTGACCAAAATTCGATTTTAATAGCTGTAGTGAAAGATCAAAAAGGCTAAAAACTTCGGATTTGCAGTGTGGTAGAAGCGTGCAAGAACTGGCATATTATTATGCTACCCAAATGAAGTTTAGAGCGGAGAGAAATACAGATGCTTACAAAATAATTAGAGATATCACGAATATTAATATAAAGATAAAGGAATATCGCAATGCACTAGACGAAACCAAAAATGCTGCATTCAAATTAAGTAGCGTTGAAGCTGTATCTCTTATTATTAAAGCTAAATTAAGCAAAAATCAGTATAATTTAATTAAACAACGAACTAGAAAAAAAGCTGTGATATATATCTCTCGGTATAAAAAAGTCCTCCAAGCAAAAAAAAATGCTACCCTCATTGTAGTCACTGTTGGATTACACCAGTAAAAGGTTGCTGATTCTTTAACAAGAAGTTCTACGTAGGTTAGATATTAAAAGAGTGGAAATATAATTATTTTTGGTATATAAGTGGGGATGTGATGGTTCGTCAGGACAATCAGAATACAAACAAAAATTTTAATCTACAAACTGTTCAGATGCTAGTGTTTTCTTATTATCTTGAGTTCCTATAAGGCTTTACATAAAAAATAATAGAAGCGAAATTATAATTTGGCAAAGTTAGTAAAAATGACCGATTTACCAATAATACCTTGTACGATATTTTAAGATATTGTAAAATATTATTTTATTTAGAAAATGTATAATTTGTGACTTAATTAATTATTTTTACTCCAAAAACAAAATTTGAATTCAAATAATGGATAGAACATGTTGTTTTACTCCGAAGAAATTTCTCATCACAAACTGGGCTACTAAGATAATGGCTTCAGTTTTCTGGAATGCGAAAGGATCCTAATGATCGATTATCTGTCCAAAGGGACAAATAATAAATGTTGAATATAACACCAAGCTGTTGAAAAATTATCTTAAAACAATTTAGAAATAAATCCAGGTTTAGCAAGCAAAACCCTTTATTAACAAAATTTTACTCTAGAAAAATATACGCATATTGGATAGTTTAATTCGTTTTCAGTTTATGAATAACAAAATGTAGAGTATTGTTATTTGTCTATCGTGCGTTGTTATGCACGAAGTTGTCAAATTATTATAGAAGAGTATACATACAATGGTTGTTTGAGGTCATAATTAATAGTTTATCCAACATAAGGCTTTATATCGCATAAAATGTTGTTAGAATTACATCAAGCAAGTATATTTTTTTATTATTATTGCCACTATTCCCGCTTTAATGTTTTTTTCTGATTAGACGCAGCTGAAAGTGATTTTGTCCATTTATTTTGGAATGTGGCTACAGTGAAAAGCAGGCATCGTAATTGTACGAAGTAACTCCGTCATAAAACATAAACCACATAATTATTCTTACTTAATTTAGTAGGTGTATCGCTCTTTTTAATCCGGCAGCCTAACATAAACGAGCCAAATACCAGCAAGTAAACAAGAACTTACTTATGAATGAATCAATTATTCTATAGTTGAATAGGTTCATTGTAGACAGTATAAAAATCTCCAAAATTCGTAAAGATTTTTTGAAGGACAGAAGAAAATATTTCCAGTGGCACACAATTTTAATGTTTTACATGACCAATGCATTTTAATTTGTTACAAAAACCATATACGATTATCAAAATAAGCACAGGATTTTTCATAATTAATGGCCCATAGCGTAACGGTAGTGTTAGCTTCAATATATTACGATCTTATTCATCTTCCTGTGATAAAATACGAAATATTAAAAAGAAAACCTTGTCAGGTGAGATCATGCCACTCATTTTTAACATAACCTGTTATAATTTTTTTTTTTGTCTTTTCGGTAGTAATTTCACATATGTTTATAAATTATTGGAAAAATTTGCAGAGGGTTATTATATTTACTTCAAATATTTTCTACGGCAAACAACGATTTCCTATTTTTCCAATAGGGCATTACCACGAAAATGCATAGGAAGTAATGTACGTCTTAACACTCCATGCAATATTTTAGGGTTAATCAATATTCCTATGTAACTCGGCACTTATTTTATTCATAGTGGAGATTTAATTACGAAAACAACAAAAAAAGAATAAGTTTTTTGCGTGTTTAACATAATCTACTGAATTATTGTTTTTAAGTCACCGTTTGCCTTTTTTAATGTTTGATCCTGCTCTTTGATTTTCCACACTCAGTTTTTCATGCTCAGTAAACTGTTCTTTTTAATAAGTTTGTTAATTTCTTACAAGATTTAACGACTTATATTAGTATATAATCTAGAAAATGTTCGAAAATACCTACAGCTAACGAATTAACTCACAAGTGATTATTGTCTTTCTAAATTAAATATTAAAAATGATGTATTTTCTACAGTACGTCAACTTTCCTATACTGTCCAAAAAAAACAAATACTCAATAAATATAAATCTTAATGAAGCTATGACTTCAGGTTCTAAAATCAATATAGCTACTGCAGTTTGTTTTTACTTAACCAGGTCACTGCACCTGCTGAATAAAGGCAAACAACACCTGATGTTAATCGTCCAGTAGATATATCGCCTCCATTGTCAGCATCACTGTAACTTTCTAGAACACCTTGTTGGTAATTTGATTTGTATGTGATTCCATAGTCTCTTTTTCCTCGTCCGTAACGAAATATACGTTCCACCTTTATTACATCTTCTTTTAAAGGCTGTTCTAGCGTTAAAGAGACATTACCTAGTGCATATTCTTGTGGCTACCATTAAGAACGTGGGTAAATCTTCAGCCTGTCTATAGGAAAACTCCGAAGAAGGCTAATTTTTTTCTTTAACTTTCCCTGTCTGAGAACAAGATTTGATGATGTGTTGAAACTGGTAAACAATAATTGTCCATATTAAATATTTCCAAAATGTTCTATGTGTATGCCTTCTAGTGGATTTTGTTTAAGCTATCTTTTTATTTTTCTTGATCTCAATTTTCATATAAGTAGCAAGGTTCAATGTTATTTTAAACTTTTTATTAAAATCGGAAGACTACAAGGTAAGTCGTAGCAATAAGAACATCGTCAATTTAACGTGCAAGTAACAGCTTCATTAAATCACGTATTTCAATAAAAGGCAGGAATCTGATTTATATCTTACAAATCTGTTGCGTTCTAAAAAGTCTACGACTCATTGGTTCTAGCAACGAGACGTTTGTTTTAGTCCATATAAACTTGTTCGCAACCTACAAAATTTGTTATATCCATCGCCTTATTTTTCATACTAACACATAAATATAGGCTCCTTAAGTGCGCCATAAAAAAAAGGTGGTTAACACACCAAATTGACTTTTTCTTTGCTGCAATACTAGGTAAAAGATTCATATTTCTAGTTATATGTTTGATTGTAGTCTTATTCTTTCTTTTGGACAAATCATTTACTAGATGAGCTTTGTACTTAACAAATAACAAAACAGGAAATTCGTCTAGTGTCCAAGTTTCATTTTATTCAAATACCTATTTTCCTTTTCTATGGTTTTCTTTCATTCTTTTGTCTAAACAGTTAATAGCTTCTAGATAAGAAGATGGTTTAAATATTTAAATATCATACTAGCTATTGCAGACATTCTGTATCTGTAACGCGTGGAGGGTGGGTTAACACACATCACTTAGGCCTCAGTAGGCCCATTTTGCATCCTCCTAAATAGTTAGGCACCTCCTAGCTCGTGATCCAACCTACAGCTTTAATGTAGATGACAACGTCGCCAAGAGGTATTTCTCTTATATCGGCCGGTATTAAAAAATTATCGCCGCTAATAAATGAAAGCGTCAGGCAATCGTAGAGGATATGTAATGCAGACATTACAAAGTCATCAAATCGTTGCGATATTTTAATTTTAGATCTGACCCGCAAATTTGGTTTATCATCTTCATTAATTGCTTAATTTTCCATTACTTTTTTTTCAATTACGTCTTCTTCCAATACTTATACTAACGAATTGTTATTAAGATATAATCTGTATGCGCTTTAATATGTATTATTTTCTCTAACTAAAAATATTGTCTGTTTGATAAAGGTTCTTCTTGAAATGGTACCTACATCACGAGATATAAGTTTGTTATTTTTTTTTTAATCCAAATTTGATACCCATCATTATCAAATCTAACGAGGACACCTTTTAAAGCCTTTTGTCCATTTTCTTTCATTGTTACTTGGGAGTAAGGACATCAAATGTACTTCCTATAATCCGTAAATGCTTCAAACTAAATTTCTCTCCTGTCCATTATAACGGTTGAAACCGTTTTCGTTATTTAGACCCGGACATTGTAACGGTTGGAACTGTTTTCGTTATTTTGACGCAAACATCTCTACCCTAACGTCATTTGTCGTTTATGCCTTGTGTCAAAACTTAGATTGTCATTTCGATTCGTCTCTGTCAACGAATAGGTTGATTTGAAAATTATCTTTTATCTTGGAAATCCGATGTACTAATTGTCTTTAATATTTTTAATGACCGTCTGATTTTAAAAAGGTAAGTTTCCTACCGATATTTTGTTGAAAATATATATTTAGTACAAGAATTTCTTTATTAAAATGTCAAATTTGAAACATAACCTCAACATGAAAACACAAGACTCACGTTTTATATAATTTTATCTATTATTTTGTTAGGAAAGAGATGATATGCTTTACTATATTTAAATATATCAAATAAGACTTTTTCTTTTCCTATTAATATTGGTCTCTGTGAAGCTATTCATTTAATAATTTAAATTGCTCATTTAATAGTAAAAAGCATCTTATCTGTTTCCTATATAACTTCCTGGTTCCTTTTTTGATATGTTTACCTTTTTCCTTGTAGCCTGGCTGTATCTAGATGGTTTTGTAGAAGTTATATCGAAAGATTTTGTTTATAAGTTTGGAAGAACGTTCTAGCTGCACGTTCAAAAGTACAGAAACTTAGAAGTTTAGGTCCAGCTACAGAAGTTTGTTTCAAGTATATCAAGAGGTTTAGTTCAAGCCATCTAAAGAAGTTTACGAGATTTAACTTTACCTATGAAGATTTAACAGTTAATGATATCCGAAGCGTATCATACGAATCTCCTTTAAGAAGTCCTCTACAGTCACTCCTTAAATGTTACCTCTGATTCAACAGGTAAGTCTATAATAAATCATTTAAATTTGAATAAGTAAGTCTCTGTTAATTAGAATTTGTCGCTGCCTTATCTGAAACCTTATTTAATTATAACATCTTAATGGTTATTGATTTTCTATATTTTCATCACTAATCGATTGTCAAGTTTAGAAAGTTTTTTCAAAGTAATTTTACCTGTTTTTACAAGCGTTATTTTCTCTCTCTGTGCAAAACTATTCTGTTCTGGAGTACAAGGCATAGTAGAACGTTGTTTAACTCCTTCCTTGGCAGCGATATCTTG